CAAATTGTTGTGTTTTCCACCCCCAAAACAGTTACGAGTTTCCCTGACAAAACAGTCATGGATCAACTCATTCTGTCTGCTAAAAATGGGATTGTGATTCACAGACCATTTATATGGTTTTGAAGGGTGACATTTGCCAATGGACGAGATCATATACAGTGCAGCGAAGCCCTCAGAGGACAATAACCTGAAATGCCATCGCTGAGAATGTGGAGCTATAATCTGCTTCCAAACACATAAAGACAATGACTGTCACAGCAAAAAATACCCCCACACAGCTGCGTTTGTGCACACATGAACGCTGTAACTTCAGCATGTGACATGGATAGAAGGGGGGTGTGCTTTGCCGTCCCCGTTGCTCCACTTCAGCCATAACTCCTCAGCAGGCTTTACCTGTTTGACTGCACGTTCACACAACTCCTGTAGAAGATGACTGCACGAACATTCCCACAGTTCCCACTTGTGAACATGATGAGCTTATGGCAGCTCTCAATAGGACATTTTAACAACCTAAAACACCCCAGGCTCACCGACTTTGCTCACCTCAGATTTGAGGTAAATGCGGGGTCATATAGAGAGTGATTCAGCAGCAAAACATGAAGCATGCACGTTAGAATTAAGTGTAAAGCTTTTAATAAGCTTTTTACATGCGCTTACGACCAGAGGATTTTGCACGTGAAACCTTAGAATGACCCTTAGCTTCACACTGGAGCTCCATACTAAGTGACCCACAATACCAGACTGGAATAGTACTGGGAGTCTTGATGCTTCATCCTCCTTGACTGCTTTCAGTTTAGTTTAATCCCTGTGATATGCATACTAACTGACTCTTGCATCCCCATTACAAGATAATTGCAGTTTATGTTATGCAGAGAATTGGCCATCCTGCTGAACTTCTACACACGGTCAATTTAGCACCCCCTACCTCGCCTTTGTTATAATAGTCCACAGGTAGAACGTTTCAATATATTTGTTAGACATGTTTGCTTCCCATGGTCTAATTAAAGCTTGCAGACAAAGCAAGTAAAACCACAGTTTAACAAGCCAGACAAGTTATTTAAAGCAATCTCCAAGCAATAAGCACTGAACCATAACAAGCACGCTTGGTTTAAAGTGAACCGCTGAATATCAGGCATGCAGTCATATTCACTCTAGTTAAAGAAGCAAAATGAATAATCCCCAACCGTGACCATCTAGAAATAATTGCTAAGTCCATTTATTTATACGCCGGGGTCTTGCAGTGATGCACTTTATATGGTTTAATGATGAAGTGCTTTGAACGCCTGGTCAGAGACTTCATCATTTCTTCACTACCAGACACACTGGACCCACTACAGTTTGCTTACCGTCCAAATCGTTCCACAGACGATGCCATCTCTCATCTCCTCCACACATCACTCACTCACTTGGACACTAGAAGGGGGAATTATGGTAAAATGCTCTTCATAGACTACAGCTCTGCATTTAACACCATAATTCCCTCCACACTCACCACCAAGCTGGAGCATCTGGGACTCAGCTCATCTATGTGTCAGTGGATCTCCAACTTCCTAACTGGCAGACCACAGGCAGTAAGGATGGGCGGACATGTCTCAGCCTCCACCACTCTCAGCACTGGAGCCCCCCAGGGGTGTGTTCTGAGCCCCCTGCTGTACTCTTTGTACACATATGACTGTGTGGCCACTACCAGCTCCACCACCATCATCAAGTTTGCTGACGACACCGTCGTGGTGGGCCTGATCTCTGATAACAACGAGACGGCCTACCTGAATGAGATTAGGAATCTGGAGAACTGGTGCCAGAGGAACAACCTCCTTCTAAACGTCAGTAAGACAAAGGAGCTGATAGTGGACTTCAGCACTAAGCAGGAGAGGAACTACCAGACCCCCGTCATCAACGAGTGCCCAGTGGAGAGAGTGGACAGCTTCAAATACCTCGGAGTTCACATCACGCAGGACCTGTCATGGTCCTGTCACATCAACACCGTGGTGAAAAAGGCCCGACAGCGTCTCTACCACCTCAGACGCTTGAGAGACTTCCAACTGCCCTCCAAGGTGCTCAGGAACTTTTACTCGTGCACCATAGAGAGCATCCTGGCGGGAAACATCTTAACCTGGTTCGGGAACAGCACCATGCAGGACAGACGAGCTCTACAGAGGGTTGTGCGGTCAGCTGAGCGCACCATCCGCTCCGAGCTCCCTGACCTGCACTCAATCTACAGCAGGCGGTGCTGGACTAAGGCCAGGAAGATCGTGAAGGACCTCAGCCATCCCAACAACAGACTGTTCTCTCTGCTGAGGTCAGGAAAGCGATTCCGCTCCCTGAAGACCAACACAGAGAGACTGAGGAGGAGCTTCTTCCCGCAGGCGATACGGTCTCTCAATCACACCACCACACAGTACTGACCCACACATACAGTTCTTACACACACACTGGACTTTCTGGACTTTGGTTTTGCACAACACTGGTCACTATATTCTTCATTTCCGGTTAATACTTGTACAGCTGCTGTTATTGTGTATATATTTATTTATATTTAGATTTCTTCATACATTCTTATATAGTTCTATATTGTGTATTGTGTATTTTGTTGTACAGTTATTTTATTTTCAACTTTAATTTATATATTTTATCTTATTCTTCCCAGTTAAATTTATCCTTCATTCTAATTTGTGTTGTACAGTTATTTCATTTTTAACCTTAATTTATATTTTATTCCTTCCTAGTTAAATTTACCCTTTTTAATTTTTCATATTTATTTCCTATCTTATTCATAGCCTTTTCCTTTTTTGTTTTCTTTAGGTCACGAGCAGTTGTCCAAGCATTTCACTACTATCGTACTGTGTATGACTGTGTACGTGACAAATAAAATTTGAATTTGAATTTGTTTAATGATGTATTGTTTACTATAATTTTATCTGCGGTATTATCTATTTCAAAACAGAAGGTAAGTAATAAGTTTGAAGGTAACAAAAGAATAACTGACATTAATGATATTTCCAGTTTATGGTCAGAAGTAATTTAATGCCAACAACCCATTTCAAAAAAGCTGCGGCATGTCTCTATTTTACTCTTTTTTAAGCATCATCTGTGAGCATTTGTGAGCTGAGGTGAGGAGAACAGTAGCTGCTGTTATAAAAATAATACGTTTTCACATTCTTGCTTTAAATTGGGTCTCAGCTCCTCAACAGTTCTGGTCTCAACGTGCCAAAAGACTTTCTCTGCAAAAGACATTATCTGTACAACATCTGTATATAGTGTTTAGAGTTAATTAAGCTTTTGCAGATGCCATGTGGACTAATGCATCGCCATACTATCGCAGCCTTAGAGCTGGGACGTCTGGCTTATTTTTAGCCTGGAAATTATCTTTTAAAAATCATTGAGGTTCTAATTAGAATAATTAATTACACACATTTCCAGTTTGCGTCTTTGGGTCCAGTTTAGGTCTTTAGTTGCATTTGAATATGCAAAAAACATAACACTTTGACATTCACAACCCATTTTAAAGTCTGAATAAGTATAATTAAAGAGAGACTTGCCACTGCAGCAAGTCTTGAGGAATAGTTCTCCAGGATTTCTCAAGGTCTTTCCAGTCCTTTTTTGGACATTGGCTGCTTTTTCACTCATGCTCAGTCGAGCTCTTGTACCTCACCATTCTCACCAGTTTTTGTTTTTGCTTGTTAAGCCACTTAACACTGACCTATGAATCATTCAAGCATCAACAATGCACCTAACACAAGGACTGAACCAGTGTTGTCTCTACATGTAACTAGTAGCCGGTTGCTACTAAAAACACATAATTTTCTCCCAATTCTTTGGTTACATCAAATTCCGATGTTAACACAATCTGACAGGGATAATTTTTCGTGCCAACAAGGCCATGCCCAAAAACCTTGACAAAAACTTAGCTTGTCAGAATTGCACAATTCCTAAAAAACAAACAAACAACAACTTATATTGTGTATTTCCATCAATAATTGCACATGTTTTAATAAATGACTACCTCTATTTCCCCTTTTCCTGCAAAATATGAAGAAGGGTGGCTCAAAACTTTTGAACAGTACTCTATGCCTGCAGATCAACGGTGGGGCCTCCATTTTTCCAGTACATAATCTATCTAATAAGTGAAAACAGGGTTTAGTATGTGCGATAAAATATGACTTTGAAAAATTGCCCTGGCAACATCTGCTGCAAATCCAGCATCTTTAATTACACTTAGAATAAAGTAAGCATCAGCACGGCTTGATTTATAATACAGGCGAAGTAGCCCGTAATTGCAAAGTTAGGTGAACTCTTTATTTTGCAAAAAAGCATGTAGGGCAACAGCCCAGAAATTGTTTTTGTGAGGCACTAGTGTCAGCATTTCCTAAGACAGAGCACTAATACAGAGAACAAGCAGCCAGGTTTTAGTGCTGTGGTGCTTTGGCAGAGCACAAGGCAGGACTAATAATGGATATGCAGGAATTGGAATGATTTTCTAAAGTCCATCTGTTTATGAAAAACAATTTAACAATTTTTTCTTGAAATGGGTTTTAAAAGTAATTAATTAGTGCATTACGTAACTTATGTGAAAGTTAATTAAGCCAGACCATTGCAAGAGTGAAGTCATCTAACGATTTGATCCATCTGACAGAGACTTGGGACGAGCTGCCTCACCCTCTCTTTGGTTAATTGCACAGTGAATGGCTTTGTGAATGAAGCAGTCAGCCAACACAGCGCCTCCTCCCCCAACTCTCCCCATGCATGAGCATCAGTGCCAACACTGGAGCTCGGGATGCCCAGGTGCCTGCAGAAAAATGAAATGTGATATTGCGTCAGCAAAGCGCGGAAACAGCCCCAACTAGTTTCTCTCCAACCTCGAAAATTTCATCCCTAAATATGAGTTCACGCTGTGCGCCACCAGGGAAGAATCAAGGTTTGGGTGCCAATCCCTGACCTCCCTCGCAGTGCGTCCTCCCCTCCCTCCTCCTTCTTCCTCCGTGTAATACAAACCTCGTGATCGCCCATTCAGCGGTTCCTACGTCCGCTGCTTTGGGGGTGGTGGTGGTGATGGGGGGTGGAAACACAATAAGCTGACTAACCGAGGGGCAGGAGAGGAAAAGTATCTGGGAGACGGACAGGTGTCGCGGAAGTTTACACTTGCAGAGGCGCATCCCCTCCGCGTCTTTCTCTCATTATCTGGAATAACGTGAAAGAGACTGTGACTGGCGGTCATTCGGCTCCCACTGATCCTGTGTAAGTGATTCTCCACACCGGCTCACCGAATAGGCGAAGAGGTGAACGTTAGCCCGTTATAATGAACAGGCGTAAGAGGCAGGAGCCTCGGTCAGGTGGCTGATTTTGAGATGCACGATTTAACGGCTCGGCGATTCTTGCATACCTCAGTATGAAAATGCTGCCAGCCCAGCTGCTCGTGCAAGAGCTACAGGAGATCTTTGTTGCACAGATGTCATCATGCGATCGCAGCTAACGTGGCAGCCCGAGTGAGATGAGTATAGGTGCTGGTTTTAAATGAGGGGGAAAAATGCGGTATTTTTAGCCTGCGAGGTGCAGGTGAATTTGCATCATCACAAGTGCTGGAAACTAAAAGCACGTCCAGGCAACGCACGGCGTGACTCATCTCTTTAAATTGAGAAACTAAGACTCTTCGGATTAATCAGAGTAAGCCATCAAAAAACAACTAAAGTCACATTTTTGAGTCTGAGCCACTGCAAGAAGGAAAAAAACTTTAATCCCCAGGAATGTAAGCTGGAAAAATCCTTACTTGGCTGCTACTCTGAGTTTGGTGTGCAGGTACAGGGAGCTGTTTCTCAGTGCAGCTGTTTGTGTTGCTTTGTTGTTGTTGTGGTGCCGATCGTCACCTGTTGAAAGTAACACTTGGGGACACCTGGGTCACTTGGGCGACACTCCCCCAAATATTTAATGAATGAGTGTGCTATTCTGAGGCGTTCATTCAAAGAAAAATGAAGATCACCCAGCAAAAAAATCACACTTAGTGCTCATGTTACAGTAGTGCTCAACACTTAGTCACATCCAAAATTACCCAGGCAGATTTAATCAGCACCTGTTTTTATTTTAACACTTCACGGTTAATGCCTTGTGTTGTGTGTCTTCACGGTCTGGTCTCCGCAGCCTCTTGTCTTGCTCTGCATAAAGTGGTAATTGGCCTGTTAGTGATAGATGTGACACAGCAGGTAGATGTCAAACAGGGACGAGTGATCGTGAGCTCAGTGGGGATTTTAATGCTCCCACGGTCTTGATGTTAGAATATTCTTTGGCAGAGTTAACATTTGGTGCCATATTGACCATGGATGGCTGCTTTGGACCAGCTGAGCCGTGGGAAAACAGGCCATGCTTTTTAAGCCTTCTCTTTCCTTTTATTTTGGTTGATTATGTTCATAGAAAGTAGAAACAAGATGTTTTTTTAAGCAGCAGTAAAATCACAGAAGTTACCAGTAAAATAAAATTCAAATATTCCCGTGACAGTGAGCCAGCATGTGTTGTACCAGGACCGGGGGCCTGAAGCAGGTTAATTGAATTTACACAGCTTTAATTTTCCTAGTTTATCTTCTTTGACATAGATAGAGTTTATAAATGGCAACAATGGAAATAGTAGAAAAATGATAGAATGGTCAAATATGATGTAGTTAATATTGCTTTTTGTCAGTGTTGCTGCATTCGCTGCTCCCAAAGTGGCATTTAGTGTTAATGTGGGGTGAGTCGTTGCTGAACCAGCTAACGTCCTTGATCTTAATTACCCTCTTGTCTGTGGTTTATATTGCATGTCTTTTGTGTCAAATTATTGCATTTATGCCATCCTATCATTATATCACAGATAATCTCTCCCCAAAGGAGGTTTGTGTTGTTTGTGAAGAGTCATGTTTTAATATAAAAAGTGATGGCATTTTATTGGCATTGAAGATTGATACTATACCCAGTTGTGTAATGCAACTTTGTTAGTTTTTACAACATTACGTTAATGATTTACTTCACGAAGAAAGCAGTTCCTGTCCCATTACTTTTGTGTTACTCTGCAACATTGTCTCACAATTACCAGTTAACAATAAAAGGCTGAGGCTATATGCCCACACACAGACACAAATCCCTATCCAAATGAGGACACGTACACTCTTTTAAATGTACGGGTTCTGACTACAGCGTCGGTGATGCTATTGTAGAAACTGAGGCTACAGTACTACAAGCCTGACTGTTTATCATGGTTGCCTCTCTGGGTTTGGCATTGCATTGCAAGTTCTTCACTAGTAGCTTTGTGTTAAAGTTCCCTTGCAGATGATTGCAAAGAGTCAATGTTCCCTTTTAGTGCAGTAAAAATGGAAGCAGTTTTTATCTTTCCACTCCTCAAAAGTTGTAGACTGCCCTACTATTTTTATTTTCCCTGCAAATTAACTGAAATCAGCTGATTGTAGCACAAGGGCTCAGGAAAAGTGCACATTTGATGATTTCTTTCTTTTCCCCCATCATTCAGATAGTTGAAGAACTCATGCAACACAAGTAACAACTTAATTGTTTGAATTTAGCACCATAATGGCTCATATGTACTGAGTTATATGCATTTTGTTTCTCCAAGCGTTTCTAATACCAATTCTGCCGTTGCCTTATACGCTTCTCTTTCCATTGTAGATTTTAGGTTGAATCGATATTCTCACAAATTCATCTCTAATGACAGATCTGGTCATGTAGAGCTGTTTAAAATGTTGTTTTGACATGCAGGATTCACTGTATCTGTCCTAAACTAAATCTGGTGCCACAGTTTTTATTGCTTCTCTTTTCTCTCTCTTGGCAACTCTTGATGTCATCTTGACGGATAGTGGTCATATCCCAGGTAGCAAAAACACCTTGAACACGTCTGTTTCTGCTCGCACGTGGCTGTAAGAAGACAAATGACCAAAGTTATACACTGAGAAAACAGTGAGCTGTCACTCTAAAGTTTCAAGCACAGTGTAAGACAATTTCCAGCTCATATTCCCATTCAAAGCTGCATCACACACACAAACTGACTGATCTGCAAAGTCAGTCCGCTGTATTTATCTTCTGTCCAAAAAGTAATTTCAATGAAGTCATCCTCAATGCACTTACCTCAAGCTGTCACAAAAAGCTGATGCAATGGAGAGTGTCTAAAACAAGCAGTTCATTTAGCGCTTGGCTGCACCTGCCCTTTTAGCGCTCCAGCAGGGCCTTGTCCTCAGCTCGCCCCTCCTCTGCTGACTCTCCGAGGTGACAGACAGCAGCAGCAGAGCCAAGTGCTTTGCAGCACGGTGCAGGATGAGTCGTTTTTCTGCATGCTCCTGTTTATTTAGGATGATCTAGCATCTGCATGTCTGCAGTTTTCTTAAAGAAATGATTGATGCAGATGGTGTGTCTTGGTGAAAATGCAGGAAAATGGAGGGGTTGTATTCTGTTCTCCTGAGAGATGCATCAGTGTGACCTATTTTCTGTCTGAAGTGATTCTCTGTGCTCTCAGAGTGTCAGCCTGAACATGTTTGCTCTAGTAATCTGACAATATTACACTGGTGCACCCCATTGTTGTGTCAGTCAAAATGTGACACTAGTAACAAATCCTGTATTTTTGTGACTTTGAACAGAAAGAGAAGCCTCAGAGTGGATGCAGTTATGGTATAACATCAATATTCAATATTTTTATAATAAAGTTTTACAATGTCTCTAATGGTTTCAAACACAGAAAGATGCTATCATTCATAAATTACCTTTACTAAACGATGTATTTTTTCTAGTCACCTGACTGTCTGTTGTGTATTAGGTAATTGTATTATTTTGGCTCAAATTATGTATTTTACAGATAAAATGTATATGTTTCTCAATCAAATAACACACCCAGGTTTCTAACAGCGGATTTTACCTGGACGGATAAGGGACCAAGGGGAAACTTAATGTTTGGATGCAGCTTGTCTGAATTCATGATAAGAGTTTCTGTTTTATCTGACTTTAATTTGATAAATCCACACATCAGTGTCATACTATCAGGCAGACAGACTGTGAGGTTGAGAAGAGGTTAGTGAATTTAACTGGGAGGTAGAGCTGTGCCTCATCGGCATAGCAGTGTAACAAAATATTATTTCTCTGTGTAATGTGTAAAGCAAGGATGTTTTCAGTGCTGCAGCGTTAGTCACCTATTTCTGACTAATTTCCGCCATCAACATCAACCAACCACATGCAACTACTCACTAATCAGCTGGGGAATATACATTTTTTCCAAGCAACTGGCAGTTAGCATGGAATAACCACCAGTCGCTCGGGACTGCCAGTAGGCCCGTGTGACTATAGCTTAAAGGATTGGCTGAAGCCTGTGTTGAGCTACCTTAAACCTGTGTTTCATGTGAAGTCAGCAGGGCTTGGCGGCTTTGGTTGCAAAAACAAATTAAACTGGAGGAAAGGAATAAAAGAAAATTGCCTTACTTTTATCCTAGTAATTGCAATTTTTTTGCAAGTTTTTAGTATTATTTGATACAATATGGTATTTGCTGGTGTAACTAATAAAGGTATCCTATCTTAAGAAGTAAAAACATGCAGATCATGTTTATTCAGTTCAGTATCCCATCTTCACTGAGAACACTGAACGGATTGTGGACCTTTGAACCACTAAGACAGTTTTGTGTTGGTGAATGCAGGTTTTTCGTTTTGTCTTTTCATCTGTGTGCACCACACCTGTGGTATTGACTTTGGTTTGTTAGTGATGCTGCAGATTAGTGACTCTACTCCGTGTGGGAAGCTTAAATTTGAGACATAATATGCACGTGTTTGTGTGCATGCATGAATTGCATGTTGTTGGAAATTATCAGTGAAAGTAATAATGAACTGAATGTGTGTTTGCAGCCATCAAGTATATGCGTCACTAAGCTTCAAATGCAGACACTCTCATGCATAAATGCTGCTTCATCCCTGTCCTTGACACCACTCACTATAAAAAGAAGGCCTAATAATTGCCTTCCTTTGTGGCTATACACTAATGGCCATATAATCATAGTGTATTCATCTTCTCTATACATCAAAAGTAACATGGATGCAAGAAAAATAACTTGTCCTAATAAGCCACTGCTGCTGTAATTTGTTCCATAGATATTAGATTGATATTCCAGCTGCTAATTTAAGCAGTAAACATGGTTTAATGCAGAATTGAGATCAGCATGATTAGTTTTCAGGTGAGAAAGTGTGTTTTTCCCGAATTTATCAACTAGATGTGAAGAAATGCAAAGTTAGTAAGACACTTGGCACAGCAGTAACCTCATTATTGGGAAATATGCTATGTTTTTTGTTGAAACAGTGTTTCAGTATTTGTTACTGCTCCGATCAAGTAGTAAAGTCAAGCAGGGTAAGAACTGTGTGTGTGTATATATCATTTTATTGTGACATCACTCAGTGGTGATTTTTCTCTTCTGTAACAATCATTATCTTGTACTGAAGACTATTTCAAAGTTATTGAGACCACAAATTCATGTGGAGAAAAATGCAGAAGCGGGAATTAAGTCAATAGAAAAGCAGTGTCATTTTTCTCATAGACTTCAGTGCAGTCTGTTTTTTTCTTTTTAGCAGCCAAGCAGTCACCCCCTGCTGGTGATTAGAAAGATTGCAGGTTTAAGGTGGTTCAGACTGGGTTTTACTTTTCCATCTTTCATATACAGTCTGTGGTTAAAGTTTTAAAATCAGAGAAAGAAGACAATGCAGGTAAAAACAACAACAACCCAAAACATCCTTTCTAGAGATTTTTTTTGTTTTGTTTCACCTCCCAGAAAAACAAAAGTGAATGCCAGCCATATGATGAGTACCATTCATACTTTTAGGCACCTGCTGGCATGTGTAACTCTAAGTGTGACTATTTTAATATCTTGAGTGGAAAAAGAAGTGTGATTCTGATAGACTGGAAAGCCTTTACAGAGGTCTTTCTTCACAGTGGCTGAATGAAAAGCAGTGGTAATGTGACAGTGTGCTTACTCTGTGTGATAATAGAATTTTGAGACAGAGATTTTACTGGGGTTTATTTATTTTTTGGGCCACCGTGCTGATAATGTGAAACTTCAATTTGTCAATTGTGTATGTTCACATTTGTCTTTTGGGATCAGGTAGATTACAATTAAACATTACAAACCTATTAACAAACTTAAACTGAGACTATTACATAAACCAAGTATGACTGGCTCAGTTTTATTTTCAGAAAGTTTAACAGTGTGTTGGGGTGAGCCAGGTCCTGAAGTGACTGGAGGAATGAGTAAGAAGCAGGACTGAAAGGGAGATGCGCTGTCAATAAAGCTATTGGTCCAATAATAGAATGGACATAATTGTCTGGTCTTCTGAGTCATAGCTCTCTTCACTGGCAGTGCTCACCCATCTTGTTTAGGCTCTGTTGTTAATGTTCTCCTCCTGTCCATCTCCTCATCTGTCTTCGCTTCTCTTTCTGTGCTGTCATTACTGTTTTGGTCTTGTTTTTTTGTTGTTGTTTTTTTAAAGGCAACCCCTCTATGTCTCCGAGGTTCTATTTTTACTTCACCATATGTACTAATATGCTAGTTCATGCACCATTCGTAGAAATAAAATCGTTGCAAGACATTTTATTTTTCAGATAATGACATAAAAAAATACTTCAGATGGTCAAGAGGGCCAGTTCAGTGACTACAATCAACCGAGGCGAAACTTAACAGATGGCTGTCGACTACAGCCGCCTGTTCTGGCATCCGCCTGTCAGTCAAAGGGGCACCCACTTCTAAAAATGATAACTTTAATCCTTAATGCTGTTTAAATGTGTGAATTCTACATTTTATTTGTAAATATAAAATATTATATATTATCATAATATAAAATATTATGGTATGAAAGGAAAAATTAGCTAGAGTGAGCAGATTTCTTTTAAGCATGGTTACTTCAGCTCTGAAAATGGGCAGTTTAACATGGGAATCTGTGAAAGCCTCAAGTGGAGAGAAGAGGAACTGCAGTTTTGCAGCTTCCAAGGAAGATGCTTGGCTTATCAATAGTCTTAGCCAACATAGACTTCACTCGATATTCACTTTTCAGCCGAGGTTCATCCTGCAGGCAAAGCAACCTGTGACTCAAAAGTTATCCACAAGTCATACGTGGTCGACTCCTTTGTCACGTGGTGTGAGCAGAATCATCTGCAGCTCAACGTGGAAAAGACCAAGGAACTGATCGTGGACTTCAGGAAGACCAGGAAACACTTGACCCCTGTTTCAATCCAGGGGGTCAGTGTTGACATTGTGGAGGACTATAAATACCTTGGAGTACACATTGACAATAAACTGGACTGGGCTAAAAACACCACAGCACTTTACAGGAAGGGCCAGAGTCGTCTCTATTTTTTGAGGCGACTGAGGTCCTTCAACATCTGCCAGAAAATGCTGAGGATTTTCTATGAGTCTGTGGTGGCCAGTGCGATCCTCTATGCTGTTGCATGCTGGGGGAGCAGGCTGAGGGTCGCAGATGCCAACAGACTTAATAAACTGATCCGTAAGGCCAGCAATGTTGTGGGGATGGAGCTGGACTCCCTCAAGGTGGTGTCGGAGAGGCGGATGCTGTCCAAGATAAAGACAATGTTGGATAACACCTCCCACCCACTCCATGACATGTTGGTCAGTCACAGGAGCTCGTTCAGTGAGAGACTGAGATTACCGAAAAGCACCACTGAACGACACAGGAAATCATTCCTGCCTGTGGCCATCTCCCTGTACAACGCATCCACTTAACACACTGTTTGCTGCTACAACTACACATGTTTCTTTTCCAAATATTTATTTATAAGTGACTTATGTATGTATGTATGTATATATATGTATATATTGTACTATTCTTAGTTAGCGTATTGTCTGTCTTGTCTTAATGTTGGTTTAAAATGGAGCACTGTAACAATAAATAATTTCCCCCAGGGATCAATAAAGTATTCTGATTCTGATTCTGATTCTGATACAAGGAAAGTTACACAGTCATTTTCACTGTGAGATGAGCATCATTCGGTGTTAAATTACTAAAATCCACTCGGACATACTCACACAGCATATAAAAGTGAATTTAATTAAAAAACGCACAATCCATTTTTATTTTTCTATCCGTTTGTCTTGTTCCAGGGTTGTCCCAGCCTCGGCCCCCAGAGCAGCGGTTCCTGTGCCTCTCCACCTCTTTGACTAGCAGCAGCAGCAGCTCGGTGTGGCGAGGGCAGGAACAATGGGCCGAAAGCTTGACCTGTCAGGCCTGACGGACGGCGAGGCTGAGCACGTCTTGAAGGTGGTCCAGCGGGACATGAAACTGCGAAAAAAGGAGGAGGACAGGCTGAGGTGAGATTGGAATTTTATATTCAGTGCCTATTTTTTATTTTGAGTATTTTTAGCACATTTGACAAGTACAGGGTGATGTGACAGGAACTGATGCAAGGCAATGTCATTCGCGTCTACAGCTGGCTCTTACCAAATCTCCTTTCTGCAACCTGCTTCTTTACTAGTATATTTCTTGTGCAATAAAATTTTTACAAAGTATATAAAAATTACATTTACTGTCTGCAAAACTAAATCTCTGAATGGTGCAATAACAGCTTGGCAACAGTGACTAGGCACAGCAGGTACATACGCCTGACTCTCAAGGACATTCAGGAGACTCGACAACAAAGACGCCCACATATGTTGAATATGTATTACATAGTTCTAATGTCTACTCCTTAAAAGGGTGTCTTTGTACACATTCTTCACGTCTACAGTTTGTCAGCGTCTGTACAGCTCATTTACTCTAGGAAGGGTTTATATATATGTTATCCATTTCACCAGAAAGGAAAGGAAAGAGGCTCTTTAGGCCTTGGATTAATGTGCGACTTTAGACACTTTATCAAATCGAGATGCTTATCTGATTTAGACAGAAAACCTTTTACCACATAAAGTTTACAATACTCTGCAAGCTAAAATGAGGTACATAGAAAGTTATGCCTACATGTTGCGGACTGTGACGATGTACAGCCTAAATAATGAGACCAGTGATTAAAAACTGCTGATCTGGGTGAAATTAAGATTTTTGCATTGAAATGAATGACCTGCTGTCCTTTTCTGGGTAAAGACCTAATGTTTCAAAAATGAATGCATGTACCAATTACTGAACGGGCCACTGTAGTGACTGTGAATTGAACTGGGTGCTATGCTACAATGGAAAGCCTCTTCGGCATGGCTTTTGTAAAGTAAAGCAGTCAAATAAAGCAGCAGTAAAATAGCTCTTCTTCCACACAAAACGATCCCTGTGAGCGTCACCCAACCCAATCAGAGATTTCATCAGATGATGGACCAGGTTATGTGTTCAGTATAAGTTACAACAGTGATTTTAAAAAGTACTGTTTTCATGACACAGAAAATTCCAACTGTAAATTCAACATAGTTCTCAAAAGCCAATCATCTTGCTTCCTAGTACACCTGTCACATGTGACTTTAGGCCGTGCAAAGCATGGAGCAAAACTGCAACTACACTTGGTTTTTTCCCAGTAAAACAATGACGAATGTCATGTTTTACCACATTAAATCTAGCTTAGTTGTGGCATCTGAAGCCTTGTTTCTATCAGGTGTTTTCCATCATGCTTATCCTCCACCATTAGATCCATATCATACAGTGTGGCTTTTTTTGCCAATGTTGTAACAGCAACAGCAGTTTCTGTGAGTTTATAAATGAAGTAAAGTAGCAAAGTAGTTTTTGTAACTGAGTTTTCAGTCCTGCTCCTCCTTTCGTGTTTTCTGCTTACAGGCTGTCAGGTCTGATAGGGTCATTATTTTGGCCCTCTGGTCTTTCTCTCATGTCACATCTTCTTAATTAACAAATGCTAGACTGCTTCCATCCCTTCAGCTCCTTTCCTTCACTCCCTCAGGGAGGAGTAAGAGCGGATTCAGTTTGGCTGTGACAGACATTAATAGGAGGCCGGCCATCAAACATATGCTCGGTTCAGTGTTGTTGTTTCATCGTGACTACAGGAGGAGGTTTGCCAGTGTATCTAATGCCACCACAAAATCCAGAAAGTTGTTTTTAGCTGTTTTTCAGCTGGAATTTAGGTGAACCCTATAATTTTTGAAACGCAAATATTCTCCTTTGACTGCCTCAGCTATTTTGTTGTGGAAATTTGATGTCTTTCTTCAGACTTGAACAGTGAGCCTCAGTGGTTTATTGTTCTTGAGTGAATGCCACAAGTGATTAGGCTCCTTTACTCGGAGCGCTAAACATCTTAGCTGTACTCAGAGGAGCAAAACAAAGTTGCTTCACAAACCAGAATGCAGCCGTCGGTTTGCGCTGCTCGAAACTCTACTTAGTTTCCCAGAATTAGTTTTAGAGCAATGATGCTGCATTCCCAAATTACTAGGCTGTAAAATATTCCCCCATCAGTCTGTCATGAATGAGCTGAAATAAATTATGACTCTCAGGCTGTTATTACTGCTGTTTACAGCAAGGAGATGAGCAGAATATTGATGATGTAATGACAGGGGAATATTTATTAGGCAACAATTCTTTAAAAAAAGCAAAGCAGATATAAAAAAAAAAAAACAACAACAATTTTTTTTTTCCAGAGGACGCAAAGTCACAGTTGATCTAAATTTGTCCCCCATGATAAACCTAGATTTAAGGGGTATTTCAGCCCAATTCAAATGAATTGTAGCCTGTAGTGCTATTTGTACATTAAGGTTGTTTTGATTTGTCATTTTTTTGAGTTGTGGAGAGACTGCTGCCGTCGGGGAGTGTTCTTTTTTTGCTTAAGTTGGTGATGTGTGACACAGCAAATCATTGGTTTCTAATGCGATGATGAATGTGATTCACTTCACCTGCCAGTAGTTTGTGTATAAAAATTGAGAGCTGTAGTTCTTAAATCTAAAGGAGTGTTTTAGTAAAGTCGACATTTAATCCAGTGACACAGATCTGCAAAAAAGAAAAATTTGCATGTTTTCAGCTGTCAAAATGGTCATCCATGTAATTAAATACAGAGGTACCCCCCTACCCCATTGAGCTTATATTTATAACTGCATTTTAGGCAAAATCTTACTGGAGTAGTAAACAGCAAAGCTCCAAAACAAATGTTTTCTTTCAATAGACCTTCCCACATCTTAAAAACTTGTCTGTTCCAAGCCTGTTCACAGCGTCTCATCTCTTATGAATTTTTAGTATCCGAGTCCAAACCAAGATGAGCCTCGTGGCCTCACGGGGCAAAGTTGACCATCTCATTATAATGCAAAAATGCTACAACTGTCCTTTAATTTTTTAGGCTGAATACCACTGCTTACATTACCCCTAACATCATCAAGCTTCATCAGCCTGCACAGTCAAATGCTTTAGACTCTCTTAATACTGCCCATGGCTAAATACTGAACAAGGACGTGTTCTTGGTCCATCTCTCTCTTGGGAACTGTGTTTTGCTTTTTCTTTCTGCCTTCATCTAATAAATAAAAAATATTTGTGTGGTGGTCCTTGCATAGTTTGACTTTATACAGTTCCGAAAAAAGAGAAATCCAAACAAAAGAAAACAATCTGCATCCTGACCACTACCACGGCCAGTCAAGTTACGGAAGGAAGAAAAAGAAAGAAACCCCAAATCCTCTCATTTGCACTGGAAAATTTTCCGCAGTTTACGAATAGGAATATAAATCTCTCTCCATTTATATATCATTCACAGCAGGCTCCCTCTGCGGTTTGCATGGCTAACTCTTTTACGATTGATTTATGGTAATTATTTATTTATTTGTGAAGGAAGGCAGCCCTGCAGAGCTTCAAATTAGGCTGGTAAACTTTCGTAGGACAGTTTAAGGCTCAGCTGGCTCATTTAATGCTGAATTTAATTTTCCCTCATGGTGAATAGGGCTGTGCAATATGACCAAAATCTCATATCCCGATATAAGAATTATATCGTCCGATAACGATATAAATCACAAAAATTTAACATTTTCTGTAAATTCTGTGAATCTCGGGTAGCTCGACTTGCGTGAAGTGTTTCCAGCTGGGCGTCGTGTAGCTGGAGTCGAGTGTTTTAACCGATGCATGAAACGATATATTTTTAGACATAAGTTGTAAATTAACTGTAAACTTTTTTGCTTCTCATCCGTAGATACTCTGCATACTCTTTCACGTGATTCAGTTTATTTTGAAAAGTCTCAACAGCTTTATGGTAAATGGTAAATGGCCTGTATTTATATAGCGCTTTTCTAGTCCCTAAGGACCCCAAAGCGCTTTACATATCCAGTCATCCACCCATTCACACACACATTCACACACTGGTGATGGCAAGCTATTGTAGCCACAGCCACCCTGGGGCGCACTGACAGAGGTGAGGCTGCCGGACACTGGCGCCACCGGGCCCTCTGACCACCACCAGTAGGCAACGGGTGAATTGTCTTGCCCAAGGACACAACGACCGAAGATTGTCCAAGCCGGGGCTCGAACCGACAACCTTCCGATTACAAGGCGATCTCCCAACTCTTGAGCCACGATCGCCCCCCCCCTGATTTTCTATTTTATGTAGAAAATAAAGAAGCGGTCGCGGTGGTTTTACAGTCTTTGTTGCTAACGACAACGCATAAAAGCAGGCGCTTGTCCGTCCGTAGTGTGGTTATATTAAATATAAGAGAAAGAGAGAACTTTAAGAAATTAATATAGCCACTACAGTGACCAACAAAACGATGAAAAAATGCTGTAAACGTTTATTTTGCGACATCACGAGACAAACGATAGCGTAAAATGAAAGGATAGATGTTTTTATATCGTCATCCGATATATATCGTTATATCGAACAGCCCTAATGGTGAATAATAAGAAATATTTGAAACACCTGACTGACTTTACCTGCTGTCTTATACACACTCAGATAAAATAAATTCATTAAAGAAATGGCACAGATAGCTATAAGTTTAGTTAGAGACAAGTGGTGCTGTTCTTTAAATTATTTAAAGTTTTAATGTTGGAAACTGCAGGTAGTCTATGATGTCTCCCGGCTTTACTGCTTTAATATTTTTAAATGAGTGTTTAAAACTATGTTTATTATTAATGTATAACACAATTCAATTTGTTTAGATAGTTACTATTCTGTTGCTGCTGAGGTCTGTTTAAGGTATACCTACATATGCTCAATTTCAGTAGTGTGATGACATGTATTTGTCATATTCAACACCTGGATGGACTTTCATTACATCTGTAACAGCTGTTCATTTGGGCTCGGCAATCAACAATTCAAAATCTGGTGGTCAAAGGGCACTGTGAACTCATGAAAGTCATTTGACCAGAACTCAAGAATTCTTACGCTAATGATGACAAGATTTCGCATTAATGTCTCAAA